ATATTTGTTTTACAGCTTTTAGTTGAATATTTTCAATTTTGAAATTGTGCCCTGAGGTATTTAATTGTGATGAAAGCAGTTTTATAAATCAAAAATACAAAACATTACCAGCAAAGTGCCATGAATTATGCTTACAAAGAGCTATGCTATCCCTGGTTTTCTGCCCACCTATCAAGAAAACATTGCAGGAAAAGACAACCAGTAGAACAGGCAAGCAAACACTGCAGGAAAAGACGGCAGTAGAATGGTGCACTGAGTCTGGGGAAGATAGAGACCAGGAAGAAGAGACAGGAAAGGGCCATGCCCACAGCCTCTAAGATCCTGGAGGAAGCCAAAGACAGACACTCTCATTGTGGACCAGTGAAGTTTCAGGTATTCCCTCCTTTCTTTGGGTATCAAATATCACCACTCAGAGGGATTATTGATCATTAATAGTTCCCACAATGAAAGTGCCCTGCTTTTTTTGGTCAGAATTTTAGAATGAGCTCTTTAAAATGATTTCATAATTTTTAATGCTTTAAAAAAAAGACTAATCACTGACAATGAGAAGAGTTTAAAATAGAATTTTAGGCTTCCAGATTTTAATAGCCCTAGAAAAACTCCATTGTTAACTCAGAAGCAGCTGCATATGTCTAAAAAAAATCACTGTGTGATTTGGCAGGGTTTCTTAAGAAACTTGAAGCTCAGCAAAAAGTTAAATAAATTATTCTTGAAAATTCCCCCAAATGCTCAGGATCTAACTTCCAAGAGAATTCTGTCCATTCACATAATTGTATAGCACCAGCTTTCTAACAGCAAATGTATGGAACTGACATCTTAAATAGTCTAAGAATGCATAAAGTAGACCTGCTTGTCACCAGAGTCACCAGATAGCTCACTTAGAGACCTGACTCCCCTCTCCAACTCTCCCTCCATGCTTCTCTCAAGTGAATGCTTGGACCAGTAGGATATTCAGTCACCGATAGCATTCAAGACTCAGGAGTTCCCAATCTGAGCTACACATGAGAACCTCCAAGGAGCTTAAAAAAAAAAAAAAAAGAAAGAAAAAGATCCATGGCTGACTCCCATCCCAGAATGAACTGACGTCTCAGAGGGTAGAGTGTGGCAGTAGGAAGGCTCAAGCTCCCCAGGTGATTGTAAAGTATAGTTATAACTGGGCATCACAGATGGAGCAAGGGACATTTAGCAGATCCGAGAGAAAAAATAATGTGAGTGCTTCTTTAAGTACTTGATTTGACATCTGTTCCCTGACAGCCAGTACCAAAAAATTAGAAATGGGCTTTAAGAGCCAGAAAGCTGTGCTACCATATCTCAGAAGTGACTGAGTTGTGAGGTTTGCTTTTCATCAATGCTTGAGACCCTTACAACTTCTGAAAAGAAGTACAGAGCAAAGGTCCTCACCTTGCAGTTGGTTAGCGTCTAGTATAATCTTCAAATATCCTCTGCTTAGGCCAAAATTTCCTGGAGTCTGATGATAATAGCAACAGCAAGAACTACCACAGCTATGGCTGTAGGCGTTCCCAACCTGAGCTACACATGAGAAGCTCCAGGGAGCTTTAAAAAGGAGACACTCCTGGCTCACATGCTGGTTCACAGAGTGAACCCAAGTCTATTCTCCTTTTCCCTTCTACTCATCTAAGTTGAGGCTCAACCCACAATGAAGGATTTTTCTCATGCTGTCACTCAATTCCTCGACATCTGGGAGGAAACAGCCAACACACATCCATGACCAAGATTAAAAGGGCAATCAGTGGGATCAGCATCCTAAGCCAGTATGGATTACGTTGGGAACCCCAAACTGTGTGCCATCCCTGTCACCGGAGATAACCCAGGAGCAGGGCTGGGGAGTGAGGCATGTGGGTGGGTTACCAGAGAGGATGCCAACACCATAAAGAGAGCAGGGCGACCCCCTCACTTCTACTGCCTGCTGATGAAATGTCTGGCAAGTGGGTCCATGTGGGCCTGGGTGAAACCCTTTCCTCCTGTGGTTTTTTGGCTATGACAAGAAGAAAACAACTGGCAGCTATGGGAGGCCCCAGGGAAACCCCAACAGCACAGCTTCTTCAATGGTCTGTCTGGATTCAGGGAGGTTCTCCTCCCACCCTCCCCCACCCCCATACCTCATGAGAAAGAAACTTGGGGCTCTGTCCTGAGGTAAGTTAAATCTCAACATGCTTTCCACAGAGTAGGACTTACGCCTTTATTTAAAACCCTAAGCACCAAGGTTCTGGCAATCTGATGACTTGAGAAGGCATGATGAGCCTTACTCTACAGGAAACCCCAGCACCTGACAAAAAACAACTCGCTAAGACCAAGGGTGCACCACAGAAATACTTGCTATTCTGGATCAAACATTAAGCTAGTTAATCATTTTGAGTCACACATCACTGTGTATAGCAGAAACCATAACACTGATGTTTCAAAGATACAGTGCAGTTTTATAGACTTGGGAGCCCTGGTTACAAGGCTAATTTTGAAGATGTATGAGTTTTAAAGGGGCTTTATTTCCATCCGTGATGATGTTACTAAGTAATGCACTGCAGGGCTTTGGACATTGGTCACTTCTGTACCTTCTTGCTGCCATTTCCTTAGCTTAAACCCCCTCCACTCCACCTTCTGTGACTAAAGCATGCACATCCCTTAGTGGAAACTGAGCGCCCTGTATTCCCCCACACTTTCCCCACAGCCAGTGTCCTGGTCCCCTTCTAGGTCCTTGATTATGGGGCTAGCTTCTGCATTCTGTGTTACACTGAGCCACCACCTTCTATCTTCTCTCTCTCCGTGGCAAACTTCTCTGAAAGGTAGAGGCATTGATTTGGTCATCCCATGGTCAGATTCTTTACAGACAATGGCAGGACGCAGAAGGTGCTACGTTCAGATAAAATAATGCACCATCTGGGCACACCAGAAGACATCACCAATGAAAATACTTTCCAAATCACTGACCTTGAAAACAACTCTACCACAACTGACATTAGAATCTAGATTGCTGTCTATTTCTAGAGGGGTAGCAGTGAGAAGATGACAGGCCTTCAGCTTGCAAGACGGCTGGACTCAACATCCTATGGAACAAATTTAAATCAGCAAGGAAAGGTATTCTGCCAAGAGAAAGGGACAACACTTTCTCTTGTTTACACATAACATGCTACACACTGGGCTTGGCAGGAGTGAAGCACATAGCTGGTGGGCCTCCACAGGTCAGAACCAAGCTGCCGTCTGCAGATGAAGAGAAGGCTGGGGAGGCATCCCCGTGCCACACCTAGATGGCTTGTTGTCCAAAAAGCTGCAAGTGTGGAAGCCCAGTGAAGGCTTTGGGGCTCAGCCATTCCAGAAGAGCTGCACTGGGGATACACCCTTATATCTAATCTCTAGCAAACACATCATGAAATTTGGAGCTCAAAGAAATGCCCATTTACCAACCCTGATCTTGTGTGTAAGAAACACAGGCAGCTCCAGAAAGCCTTCCACTGTCTCTTGGCAGCAGCTTCCTGTTCCTCAGGTGCTAAAGCCCTGGCCTCTTCCTGAGCCTAGTCAGATGCAGGAAGGGGAGAGGACAAACATTTGCACTCTGCCTCTGCTGATCCCCCATCAGTACTCAGGTTTGAATCAGACAGAGGAACCTTCTTTTCCCATTTCAGCACAGACTCACAAGACTCCAGCTAGAAGAAACAAAAGGCTATCTCAGTCAAGTCCCCTGCACCATGGATCCTGTCAGTCTGGGCTTCCACATGCCACTGTCTACAGAAGGGGCACAAAATCCTACCCTTCCCACCATGCACCCAAGCTTCATATACTCTGTGCTCCAGCCCAACCAAGGGCACAATCCATCCTCTCAGACTGGCTTCTGCTCACCTCAGGCATTTCCCACAAAGGGCCATCCCATCTTCTCTCAGCCTGGCTTCTGCTCACTTCATGTTATTCCCCTGAGTCAGAAGGTTCCTCTAACACTGAACTGTAATACCCTAGATCTACCCATTCTTCAAGGCCCAGGTCAAGTGCTCCCACCCTGTCCTAGATCCTCCTTCCAGCTCTTATAGTACACAGTGTCTCTTCATGTGCCCTGGGACTCTGGCTCCTTGTGCTGCATTTATCTGTGAGCAGACCTTCTTAAGAAGGGAACAAAGCATGATGCCTACGGTACTCTACTTGGCAGGGACTTGCCCAGCATCTTCCACAAGGTAGGATCAACCTCAGTTCCCAGACCTTTCAATGGACAGCTGCCCTTGAAATATGTTCTTGGTCCTTACTATGAACTATTTCAGATTTGAAACAAACCACAAGCATCATAGTCAAATGCACTGCTGGACTTCAATTTCTACCCTTACCTGAAGCACAAATGGGCCCAGAAAGACTAAGAGTGTACTGGTGGGAAAAGTGTATGGTAAAAGACACTGTGATAGACAACTGCAGTTAATTTCAATAGTTGACCAATTATCAGGCCTTGCGTCCTGCAGAAAGCACTTTAGAGTACCTAGTGTCACAGTGTGGTGCACCTACCAGGCAGATGGGCTGCAAAGCAACCAGCACTGACTCACAGTTCTCTTAATAACTGCCTAGCACAATGAGCTTGTTTCTTCTGCCCACGATGGGCTAAGCGCATTTGGCTTTGTATGGATAGCACAGATGGGAGCCACTTCAGGTAGAACAAGAGTGAAGGGGGACCCTGCTCTTCAAATCCTTGTCCAGCAGAACAGACCACCCCGAGGGAAGGGAAACTACAACAGCCTCTCCTGGAGTGCCCCTGTCCCCACATGGAAGGAGGCTTACCCAACTCTTGAGGCCTACAGTGCAATTCTATGACCACAAAGTCACCTTACTATACATGAACCTAAACTCCAAATCTCAGGCAGAAACTCAGATGTGTGATGTGCATAGGGTGGGGTGGCTGGGAGGAGGCATCCCACTGACAGCCTGGTGGGGCTGAGGGGGATGGCACCTGCCATGGTGTCTCTAATGAAAGCCAGGTCTGTCTGGTCAGGATCAGGAAAAGCAACACCTACTGTTTCGTTTGCCTTCCTCTCCGCCCTCCTCCTCATTCTCAGGATCGATGTCCTCTGCCTGGGTGATCCAATCCAAGTAGCCCTTAAGATCTTCTTCTAGTTGCTGCTTCTCTCGAAGCTTCTGGAAATCTCCCCGGGCTTTTGCCTTCTCTCTTTCCTTTGAGAATTCTCTGAGGGATGCAAAGAGAACAAAGACTGTCAGGTCATCCTTGGGGACCTGCATCATGGGCTGTCTGCCCTGCTGCACAATAGTCGTGTGGCAGGACACACAGCACTAGTACAGCCAGATGAGCATAGCAATGGAGCCACATACGTGTGCAGGACAGCAAACAGTGTCTCCCTAAGCAAGACTGTGGGTGTCATAGTGGCAGAGACCATACCAACATACATGCACTGTTTGTTAGGAAGTAAGCTCTCTTTAGGATGGCAGTGATTCCAAGGAGCCCAGGTCAGACACACCAAGTACTGTCATGGTAGGCCTCTGACAACCCTCTCACCACGGGCCACAACTCAGAGATGGACCTCCTTCCCCAGAACCTCCTGACACTTGGCATTGAATTTCAAAGAGAAGGGACCCTGGTGAGGTCAAAGAGAGCACCCGTTCTAGGGCTTCTTCCCTATACCTATTCTAGGCTCCCGTCCCCATCATCTGGAGCTTCAGGCCAGAGCAGTGAGCAGAGTCCTAGTGGACCCATCTTGCAGCCTAGGTCTCACTTTCCAGGCCAGAACTTGAGCACTGGTGGAACACTGCTATTTTTCTTAACCTTGTTTTCAGCCACCATCATTCTCAGAAGGTCTTCCCTCTAGTAGGTGAAAAGGCAGGGCAGTTTGTTGACCATTTATGGGAACACCTGCCCTGGAAAGGCTTTGGCAGACACACAAATGTTCCCAACTGTTTGCTGTTTACTATGCAACCCTATATCTACCCACATACACAACCCCCCTGACTCACCCAGACAAGTCTGAGAGTCAGGTGGACAACTACTCAATTTTTATATACAAGGAATCATCTGTGTTTCCAACCATGAATTGTTACAGGAGCCAAGATATGTGGGTTATAGCTTTAGGAAGTACAACTAAAAAGCTGCGAGGAAGGCAGGTAAGGTTACAGGCAGGGAAGCTTCTGCACACAGACCTCAAGATTTAGTTACTGCCATCTTCTTGCCATCTGCCTTCTAATCCAACGCCAACACACCTCCCTTCAGATACCTCTAACTTATGTGATGAAAAGAGAAATGACCTGCCTTTCATCAAGCCTGTCCCTCCCTCAAGGCCATCAAGGGACTGAACAGCTACCTGAGCAGTCAGTGACATTGATACTTAAAGTTAGAAACTGAAGTCCTTGTCAAGGCCCACAAAGCATCCCAGTCACTAATCATAAGTCACCCCCACTTTTACAGCCTGAGAGCATTTTCTTAGCCTTGGTAGGAATGCTGTCTCCATTCTGCCCTCTGGGAAGAATGAGAGAAAGCAGGACTGCAGGCATCCTGAATGCAACTCACAGACAGCTGCCCAGGGAAGGGAGTGTTTGAGGGTTTTCAGGACCTAAACATGTGCTCTGGCCTCCCAGCCCAAACGCACTCCTTTCTGTGAAGAGAACACCTTCCTGCCTAAAAAGGAAGGAACTTCGAGGGCAATGTCTTGCTGATCACATATGACACACCCTGAGAACTGTCTGGGCTTCCTGAGATATAGGAAATGTATACTTCAGCCCTGAGCAAGTTCACCAAATTACTCTAACTCTGAAAAAGTCACATTTAGTTCAGAATCAAATCCCTGTGCAACAACACAGGACTTGGCCTTCTGAGGTGGTCACAGAAAAATGCATTATAATCTGTTTTCTTCTACACATTATAAAGACGAGTAAGTGAGCCTTGAATTATATTACTTGTCAGAAAATAATTCCACGGGCTAGGAGCATGGCTCAAGTGGTAGAGAACCTGCCTAGCAAGTACAAGGCCTGAGTTCAAATCCCAGGACCACAATAAATAAATAAATAAAATAAAATAAAATAAAGACCTAATCTCCTGGTGCTGGTGGCTCATGTCTGTAATCCTAGTCACTTGGGAGGCTGAGATCAGAAGGATTGAGGTTTGAGGCCAGCTCAGGAAAATAGTTCACAAGACCCCATCTCCAAAACATTACCAGAGAAAAATGGACTGGAGGTATGGCCCAAGCAGTAGAGCACCTGCTTTTGCAAAAGCAAAGGCCCAAGTCTGATGACCAGGTCCACCAAAAAAAAAAAAAGTATCCCACTACAAATCTTTTTCAGGTTCTGATTTTGGTCTTAGCATACTAAATGTAGAAGATTACAAATACACACAAACAGGATATTCCTATTTTGGATTTATACCTAATCTTGAAAAAAATATGCCAAAGACTGTAAAAGAATTACTCTGTGAAGTTTAAGAACTTTATAAAATGAAATTTTACTTTAATATATTTTATGTACTTCTTTTCATTAGTACTATAAAATTCCCTCTCTAACAAGTTGCACCACTGTTGTACATTCTCAGTTGTTAGGACACAGTTAAGCAGGCGTAAGTAAAACCCTACTATAACTAAAAGTCTTGGGAATAAGAATATAGCCAAGGCCTGGTTTATGGACCCTTTTTTCAAAATAACAGTTACTATTTTAAAAGTTCATATAACAAAGCTATAGGCCCTCTGACCTAATTTCAGGTGATTTTGAAGGGCTTACCATCTAGGAGGCAGGTAGCATTGATTTTGACAGAACTGAGATCTATCTGCATGAATCCTCTGTGGGCTACAGAATAGAGTAATGAAATCAGTCAGGAAGGTGACGTCTCTATGATAAACCCAGGTATCCCCTTGGTCCTTCTAGACCACTTGGGGTGCTCAGTCTAAAGATCCGATTCTAATCCTACCTCTGAGATTTTCTGAGTTTCTGTTATTTTTCACTTGCAATAGTTACAATAACACTTGTTAAACTAAGACATGCAGAAAGATATCTTAAAAGAAAACAACAACAACCAGAAAGCACCACATGAATGTGAAGTTCAGTTATCTAATACTTAATTTTGAATTTGGACTTAGGAGAAATTTAAAAGGGGACTAGAAAGACTTCTTCAAATACCAAAGAGACAGAACTGGGAAGAACTCAGAATGGGCTCTAAGCTGCCATGATCTCACCAGAAGTGGGAGCCATACAGAAGGATGTATGGCATTCTAGGGCTCAGAGTGGCAGTGATTAGCAGCCACACCCACATCAATCTTGTACCAGTTGAGAATAGCTCATTCCCAGCACAAAAACCCTTCTGGTCCAGAAAAAAAAAATCTTACCTCAAGTCCACCAAATCTTGTACTGACCTCAGTGGATGATGAAAAAAAGTTACTCCATTTTGCATACGATTTTCTCTTCTTCTGAGAAGCTCTTTACTAAGATTAAATAACCATCACTACTCCAAGAGTTTATTTAACAAAGCTATTGGTAGAAATGATCAGCCATCTGCCAAGTGACTAAAAATCCAAAAAGCTGTTGCATGCTAGACTGTTTATTCCATGGTGTATAAGAAAACACCTAAGAAATGCTTGGACAAAAGTTCTGTACACTGCTTCCCTTTGCACATGAAGGAAGGGAAAATAGGAAAATATACATATTTGTGTAGGGTATATCCCAAGGATAAAGTAGAAAGCAAGGGGTGGGGACAAGTGGGGTATAAGAAATAAAGGATGGAACATTACTCCTAAACATATTTTGTCCATGGTTTTGACTTTTGGATCTAAATGTTTTTCATATTAAAGGTTTTTTTTTTCATTGTTGTGCTTGGTGGGGGTATGTCATAGCATTTACAAAAGTTCTTACAATGTATCAAATATATCATACTTGAATTCACCCCCTCCACTGCTCTCCTTCATCCAAGTTTTTTTTTTTCTAAATTAAATCAATTACCTCTGAACTCAAAGTGGATTGAGGCAAATGTATCTGATTATATTTCAAATGATACTATAAGCATCCTGGACAAAATTCAAGAAATTTAGGAACATTTGACTGCAAGCTGTCAGTCTTAGGCAGGACTGGAGTAAGGGAAAAACTGAAGAGACATGCTGAGCTCTTTAAAGTTTTATTTAGTTTTGGTTTTTGTTAATGATATGGATAAGACAATTCTGAAACTATTTTAGATGTCTACCAGGATTTAACAAGAAGTAAATGCATCAGTGTTTTTGGGAGCCCGAGTGCTCACTGTGGAAAGACAGAGAAACATAGAACGGAGGAAGACTAGGAAGAGTAGAATTGATTTCTAAAAACTCTGTTCTAAAGCCTTATGTCTTATTTTTAAAAGATGCTGGTTTATGAGTATATACATCGGTGTAAATATGTGTACGTGTATGTGTATAGATATGCACGTGTCCTAGTTCTGTCTGTTGAAAGGTCGTAGAGACAGACTCCACAAGCAGGTATGATCACACCTGGTACTCACATCTTGGTCTCTCATTAACATTCCTTATTAAAAAGAACCAGGAGGACAAGCAGGGAGGTACATGCCTGTTATCTCAGCACTCTGGAGGTAAGGAAGGAAGATCGTGAGTTTGAGGCCAACGTGTGCTACATGAGACCCTCCCTGTTCCAGAAAAAGGTTGGGGGTGGGAATCAGAGGTTCTTGTAGAAATGGCTGATTCCAGGGTTGGAACAGGGTAGGTACCAGATGAAAAAAATAAGAAAGTGCTCAAAAACAAAAACATGATAGAAATAAGCAGTAAGGATACAGAAGCTCCAGGAGCATCTTCCACTGGCTAAATCTGAGAAAACTTGAACACCAAAGTAACTAAGAATAGTAGTGAATTATAAAATATTTTTTCAAAAACTAATCTGTACCTCTTATGGATAAATAACAAATGAAAAAGCAAATGAGGGGTTGGTCCTGGTGGCTCACGACTGTCATCCCAGCTATTCCATTGGTGGAGGCCAATTCCATTGGTTCAAGGCCAGCCTAGGCAAAAAGTTAGCAAAGACCCCATCTCCATAAACAAGCTGGGCATTGTGGTACATGCCTATCATTCCAGCTATGTGAGGTCCTAAGTTCAAACTCCAGTACTGCTAAAATAAATGAGATAAAATATTATTAGTAGGTGAACTGGAATAAAGGATACAGTGATTGCTCTCTGTGCTATTCTCATTCTTGCAACTTTCTGTACATTAGAAATTATT